ATCTATGAAGACAAAAATCTGAGTTTTCAGGTGGTTCCATTAACAGTCCATCTGCACCCCAGCAGATATCAAAGAGGTGTCTGTGTTTTTAAAAATAGCTCTGAAATGCTTCCCAGTCACACCTCTAAAATAAATAAATGCATACATAAGTGTGTGCCTGATGAGAATGAGTTCTGCCAGCTCATCAGGATAAAATGTCAGCAAATGCCAGCAAGTTCCTGACCTTAATTCCAGTAGACTTGCCTTCCTCCCCTTTCTGAAGTTTTTTGCGTCTTTCCCAGACCTTGCTATTTAGTTGTTAATCACCAGGTTTTATTAGGCAGAAAAGGCATCTGCTTGCTGCTCTGACCTTCGTGCCTTGCTTATGGCTTCTTCCACCTGGGACTGTGTAGGTGACTGCAGGGACAAGGTGACTCCTTGCCTAAGCCCACCATGGGTTCACAGGCAGGGAGCTTTGGGATGCTCTGATGTCTCACAGGTCTGTGTTCTAGTGCACTCTTCAGTTGTAAGACCATGACCCAGAGAGAATTTGCTGCTATAGGATTTCATGGAGGCCATTAAAGCAATCCGGAGCACCCAACTATGAGCTGGATCCTACCTTTACTATCTGAATGCCTGCCTAAGGGCCAATTTGCTTTACAATTTATTGCCTAGAGCTGCAAAATCTGCCATCTGCTCACTTCTCATGGCCAAGCGCTGCAATGTTTCTCATTCCCACCCGCACCCAGCACAATAAAAAAATATTTGCATACCTGGCCAAAAGCCCTTTTATTATTACTCCCTGGAGGAGGGGCCTCCCGAGCACAAACAGTGTGCAGTGTATTTTCCCCAAAGTCACTTTGCTGCACTGTCGCTGTGGAAGCAACACGAGCAGCGATGGCTGTGGAGTCATCGGCTGTGGGTACGTGGAATCGCTTGCTCGGGGAGCGCCGGTGGCCAGAGGAGGGGGATGCTGCCCTCCCGGGGCTGCGGTGCCCGCTCGCCGTTACCTCGCTTGCAGCTGGCTGTCCTCGCCTCCCACAGTGGCCCAAGAGTTGGGGGGAAAGTTGTGGCTTTGCCATGCTGGCTCAAACAGTGTTTGAGGCACAAAGCGCTCCGCAAACATTACGCTTCTCCAAGTCTCCTGGGCTCCATAAAGGATTGCAAGTGGTTTCTGTTATAGGCTGTGGATGTTACAGTAACAAATATATCTTTCTGCTGGAAATACTGCAGTATTTTCATAGTGGGTTTTTTTAAGGGCGAGACTAGACAATGCATGCTGAGACTTGCAGGCCAGACTGCCTTTATAAAATATTTGCACAATATCAGCTCTTTTCTAGTCCTGAAACCTACCCAAGCTTTGTGATGCTTCGAAGACCATGATGGGCAAGCTTCAAGCACTCCTGACCAACTCTTTCGGGTCCTTTGCTTTCGTGTGCGTTGCTCGGCGCAGACCAATGCACAAGTGTGCTGCCAGCTGGGGTGACAGTCGGCTCTCCCCACTGCACCCCACTGCACCCCATGGCACCCCATGGCACCCCAGCAGCCGCTGCTGGAGGATGCAGTGGAGCAGTGGGGCCCTGTCCGGAGGGGTCCGTGCAGCGGGCACGCAGCGACATGTTTGTTTTTTTTTTTTTTTTTTGCCTGGCTTTCACATAAGCATTGCAAGAACATCTTCTCGACTTCACAGGGTGAAAAAAAAGAAGTCTGTGCACAGCGGGTGGGGCGTGGGGCCGGTTTCCCTGGGGCGTCGGGGCAGGAGGAAGGGCAGAAGCGCCCGAAAGCCCTGGGCTGCAGCGCCGGGGAGCTGGGGCAAGGCTGGAGCAGGCGACGGCAACTCTGGGCTTTCCGTGCTGCATTTCACCGCCTTCCCAGGAGATGGCAGGCCGGTTTTATAAATCCACAACCGGCGGGTGGCAGCGAGCAGCCGCGACCTGCGCCGGGAGAGACCCGGGGAGCGGCGGGGTCCCCCCGGGGTCCCCCCGGCCGCCCTTCCAAACTCTCTCGGCGAGGGGCGAGTCCTTCAAAACGTCCTTGCTCTTCGCTCAGGGTTGCGGGGGCCACGTCCCCCCCGGGGTGGGTGTCCCCGGCTTTGGCGAGGTGCCCTCCTGCCCGGGTGGCACATGGGACCTTTGTCCCAGGCCGTCCCCGGCAAGGGACGGGACTGCAAAAACAAGCAAACCGGTTACACGACTTCAACGTGTAATCCTGGAGCTTCTAATTATTGATTTTGAAAGGGAGGAAACAGGTTCTGGGCTTGCAGGACAAACACGAGCGCGAGGGTTTAATCCTCTCCCTATTCTTCGGGGATCTCCTGTACCTTCTGGTTGTGGTGGTGGGGGACTAGGCTCAACGTCCTGGGATCAAAAGCTCGGAAAGGCTCTTCTAGAAGGAGGTGGTGGTTTCACAGGCATGGTGAAAGGTCAGGGAGAGTTGGTCACTGATCTCAGGAAAAAAAGAGACACGGTTAATTTTTGTAATGTAACAGAAAGGTGGAATCATGTGAAATCCCATGGGTGACCTGAACTGCCTGCAGAGCCTGTGTGACTTTGTCCAGAGCGCTGCCTGATGCTGCAGGTACCACCCAAATCACACCTGGGGCAACAGGCAGCTGGGGGTTTGAGATAAACCAGGCGCAGGAAGAGCTGCTGCCCCCCCCCCCCCCCCCCCAAGCTGCTGTTTCACATGCTGCACAACACTGACCTGCTGATGTGAGAGGCCCACACCAGCTGACAGTCCAGAAGGAACTGCAGAGTGAGGCTTGTCCTTTGGTTCAGCTTTTAAGAGCAGTCTTTAGGTCGGCTCTAGGCACTGCAGCAGTCAGTGAGGACAGCCACCACGACTGTGGAAGAGGCCAGAGGAGCAGGCTACGGACTGTGGAGGGCATCCACCCCTTGCCAGGATCTGTGAGCAGCCCCAGTGCTGCCAGGCAGCCCCACGGGGACTGCCCGGGGTGGGGCTGGTTTGTTCGCCAGGCTCTGAGGGCTTTCCATCAAACAGTCTGCGCCTGGGGGCCCTGCAGGCACCCGTCACCGAAGAGATGCTTGCAAGCCCTCCCACAGGAATTCAGTTCTTCACCAAATCCACCGGGCTTTGCTAGCTGTGGAAAGCCGGCAGTCGGCAAGACCGTATGTCTTTAATCAAATTTAGCACAGGAACAGGGCTCCAGAGAAGCTGTGGGGTATCTGTCCCTGGGGATACTTGCAACTCGCTGAGACACAGCCCTAAGCTGCTGCTCTCATCTCGAAGCTCGCCCTGCTTGGAGCAGATGTTGGACTAGAGACCTCCGGGGGACTTCTCCAGTGGGTGTATCATTCCCAGCACCTGGGACTTAAGCACTGTCAGCTAAACCTTTGCTAGAGATAAATGGAAACCTTCAGCAAGAAGCCAGAGCACCCAGACATCACAGAGCAGATCCAGGCTCAAGACTGTTCCACCTCTGGCTTCCCTCTGTCCCAGACTTTCACTGAGCTCAGGTGCCTCATGGATGTTCAGTTTTTTGCACCCTTTTTGCCCAGGGGATCTCTGTGAATGCAGTCACCAAGCTGCTGCGCCTGCAACGCACAGCACTGATCCTCTGCCCCCTTCCAAAACAAGGAGTAAAGGTTTTTAAAGAGCCCAAGGCTTGCTGGCATCTTGCCTGGGGTGGGAAATCATCCCTTGACTGACTTGTCCAAGTGCTGACAGCCCTGTATAGTCCCACCCGAGCCCAGCGTGGAGGAGCTGGCAGCACGGCAGCCATTCCTATACACCCCTCATGGGCATGGCTGAGCTGAGGAATTTAGCAGCTTGGGGTGTAACTGTCTGTGCCCAGCCCATTATCTGAGCCTCTGGGGATGGTAGAAAGCCCACTCCACTTTGAGGGGAAACAATAGTTTTTCTCAGATGTGGCTGAAATGCCGTGGCTTGCTCTGAATTATGTTATAAGCTCAAAGGAAGTTTCATCACATTGATTCAGTCTGAAAAATCAATGGCCCTGAATCTGTTATGCCCAGGGAAGGGTCAACAGCCAGCACTGCTGTTTGCACTGCAGTCATTTAGAAACCCGAGGCACGGGAGGGAAGTGTGCTCTGGTGTGTGGGACCATGCAAGCAGAGCAAGGCAAGGGCTTTGGGAATTGTGGGTCTCCTGTGGAGTGGGGGGACACGTCTGCCCTGGGAAAGGCTTGTCCCAAGCGGTGCCTCTGGCCTGTGTGAAGGCCGGTGCGAACCCCTCAGCCACACTGCGGTGAGATGAACTTCACAGCTGTAAAGAAGCATCTGTGGATATTAAGACTCAGTGGGATGGAGCCCTACATGAGGGTGCACTATGTGGGTGGGGGTAAGGGGTGAAGCAGCCCGGACTTGCAGTCAGAGCTGTGTGAGTGGGTGCCTGCACATCTGGAAAGCAACTCTGGGGTGTTTCCAGTGGGTGGAGGCAAACATTGACAGCTTTCAGGGCTTTTATAAGGTAGGGCACAGACAGGTCTGGTCTGGTCACAATGACTGGCCTTTTGTTAAGCACAAGATGGAGATTTTTCACGTCCAGCTTGTTTGATTTCCATCACGTCTGGTGTTGATATAAAGATTTGAATGCAAGGTTCACTGGCCTGAGGGTTTGGGGCAGCCCAGGCTCTCCCATCGAGGAGGGATGCCTTGCCGGAGCCGCAGGGCTTGCCGGCTGTGCCCGGAGAAGGGGGCACGGCGTTCCCCCATCTCTCAGCGCACCCCCGAGCCGAGCTGGACCCCCACCGCCGCAACAATTTGCCAGGCTTTTTTATTTTCTTTTATTATTATTATTTTTATTTAAAAAAAAAACTTTGGCGTGCAGACCCGGCACCGCGCACTAGATGTCAGCGGTGCCTTCCCCAGTGCCCCTGTCGGGTCCTCTTTTTTTTTTTTTTTTTTTTTTTTAACGCTTGCCTGCCCCTCCCCGTTGGAAGAGGCGGGGGGGCTCAGACCCCCCCCTCCCCTCCCCTCCTCTTCCACCACCCTTCCTCGGCGCTCCGCGGCGGCGCGTCCCCGCCCCGGGGCCGGCCGGCGGTGAGGGGCGGAGGTTGCGCGGCGGCGGCGCCGGGCGCGCTGCAGGGGCCGCCCGGCCGCCGCGGGGCCGCCATGCCCGCCAAGTCCAAGTACAACCTGGTGGATGACCGGCACGACCTCCGTATCCCCCTGCACAACGAGGACGCCTTCCAGCACGGCATCTGCTTCGAGGCCAAGGTGGGCACCGGGGGTGGGGTGGGGGGGTGTGTGCGGGGGGTCCCTGCCCAGCGCTTGCACCCCCCGGCCCCCCGGGATTCCTTATTTTCCAGCTCTCTTCTCACCCAGCCTTGGCTTTTCTCCACTTTCCCCGGGATCCCTTCCCGTTGGCGTTGCCTGCGGTCCCCCAAACTCGGCTGCAAAGAGTTGGGGGAGGCTTCCCACCCATCCCATAAGGATGTCGAAGCTGGTCGGATGGGTCAGGCTGGAGCGGGGTCACCCTGTTGCTTCCCCTGAGCATCCCTCCTTGGTCCTCCACCCCTCCTGGGGGGTATTGGTCCCGGAAAGCCAGGGTCTGCACGCATCATCCTGGGAATGAGCGGGGGGCTTGGGCTTTGCTCCCCGTTTCCAGCGCTGTGGGTAGTGCTGGGGCGATGGGGGGGGGGGACGGTTGGTGGCTGTAGGATGCCTTGTGTGCTGGTGCTTCGCTAATGGGATAAACTCATCGTGTGAGCAGACGGAGGAACCGCATGCCATTTGCAGTGCAGTGCAAGAGGTCAGGGCCGCCCACCCGAAAGGAAAGCTCGCCATTTCTCCGTATGCGTGTAAACTGTTCCTGCTCATGGATTTGGCAGGAAGAGCTCTTTTTGTTTCTTTCTGTTGGGACCTCTCAGCCTCTTACCCCACTGAGGCTGTGGCTTCCCGCAGTCCGAGTGCTCTGCAATCTCCCAGCAGGCTGGAAAAAGCCGAGCTACCTGTCTGCGTTGCCCAGCCCCGAGCCCGTAGCCCCAGCCGGCACTGCGCCAGGAGGTACCTGGCCATGAAATTTGGAAAGGGAAAATATAAAATCCTGTTCCCTTTGTCATTCCTGGGGGATACGGTTGTTCCGCTGATGAGATAGTCAAGTGAGGTTAATTTGGAAAAAAACTGGTGTAAAAGAGATTTTGAGCAGTAGGGAGGCAGGCATCTGTTGCACACTGTTGTCCCTGGAGCACATGTGCTGGCAGGGGGAAAAAATAACAGATTTGACATCTAATTGTGTGCAGTGCCCTGGGAGCAAGGCTGCGATTTGTTGAAGGGTGTCAGTGTTATTTTCCCCCTTTTCTCATGGCTGGGAGGGTTCCTCTGCAGAGGCCATGGCCTGCCCGACGGCAGGCACCGCGCTGCAGAGTGTGAAACGGCAGGAGTTGTTTACGGAGCAAACTTAAACCTGCTTTGCAACTGTTTCCTGTGAAAGACTGTTCAAATGCAGTTTTGCAGCCTTTTGCTCCTGGATTATTGGAGCCGACTGCTGTTTTCCTGCCAGCACCTGTTTACCCCTCACCTGCCGGGAGGCTGCAAAGCATCTCCCCCTCAAAATCCCATCCTTCTTGTCCATGCCGGGCTAGGGTGGCCCGGCTTGGGGGGGGTGAGGAGTGGGATAGGGCTTCATTTGCCCTGCGATCTGCTCAGGGTTCATCTCTTTTCCATTCTGCTGGTCTGGCTGCATTAATGGTGTGGTGCATATTAGTCTTTGTTCGCTCCTCTTTCTCTTATTTGGTATCCTGTGGCACGTGTTAATGCCAAGCGCAATCCACACAAAACCCAGCTTCCAAATTTGTGGGATTCTCCAGCAGCCTGTGATGCCAGATGCAGAATGCAAATGGCTTAGGCAATTATCCTATTCTTTTATTAGATTGCTAGAGATTAATTAAATGCTTACACTTCTTCAGTTCCTTTTATTACCAAGAATCCCAAGCGCTTAAACCCGCGCAGCTCTTGTTTCAGCCAGGCACCCAGTGCAAGTCACAAAAATGAGGAACTCTGATTTAGAGCGCAACTTTAGGGGGAGATTAAGGAAGAAAAATGTTCAGCTGGGTGCTGGGACTCACGTTTCTGTCTCCTAAAAGCCTCCTGGGTTTGCTGATAGCCTGGGTGGTGGGGATCCTGGTGTTACAGCCCTTGGCAGCTGGATCAGTGCTCTTTGCTCCGGCAGCCTGGGATTCCTGACGAGCTTGCTTGGGGCTCACCTCAGGGGGGGTAACACAGGCCTGACTTGGTATGTGCTGATTTATTGTTTTAATTTGTAATTTTATTTTTACACTCAGACTTATGCTGTTGGCTGCTGTCTTTAAATGACACGCACAGCGAATGTAGCGCGTGTTTTGGTTCATTGGGAGCTGCTGCCATCCGTGCTGTTGCCCCTCTTGCCTCTCTCCCGGGGGAGTGCAGGTGTCTCAGGGTGGGTGGCTGCAGACAGGCAGGATTTGGGCCCTTTTCAGGCACAGAGTGATGGACTCGCTCTGAAGCAAGCAGTGCTGTCACATGCAGCGCTGTGGGGAGACTTGTGTTGCTCATCCCCACTGAAGCGACTTGCAGCCGTATGCTCTGGCATGGGGGCACCAAGTCTGAGCAAAGTGGCCTCTAAGGATTATGTTAATCCATTTTCTGGAGATAAATCCAATAGTTGTAAAATCCCACTCCATCTTTTTAGGAACAGTAATACATTTCACACTCTTGGATCTGTTTTTATTGGCCACCTCTCTTGGCACCAAATCCCTCTGTGTCCCAGAGGGGCCTCGGCCCGGCTGCTGAGAATCAGAGGAACTAGCTCTGAGGGGAAGCAGGGCATTTGTTTTCTTCTGCATTTTGCAGTCTGAATTGTTGAATAAAATCAAAATCCTGGCCTCTTGGGTTAGCTGAAGCATTCGGTTGAAAGAGCTGGGAGCTGCAGCTTGACACAGGGGAGCGGACAGAAGTTCCCACTTGTGCAGCGGTTTTCTGGTTACATAAATGGGTGTGCAGAGAGAAAAGATACCTCCTGTCCTCCTCCACCTCTCCACCCAGCACGGTTCCCCCAGTTGGAGCAAGGAGGAGGGGGATGTGAGCTTACTCCTTATCTTCCCAAAGCCTTGGTGCTGTGGGACAAAACCCAAGGGTCAGCTTGTGCAACACCAGCAATTCTGCACATTCAGAAATCATGACTCAGGGTACTCCAACGCCTCCAGAGAGATCATGTAGAGGAAATTAAATGGGGTGTTAGAGCCTGTCATTGGAGTCCCAGACCCCCAGTCGGTTTGAGTGCAGGGGTGCTGCTGGGTTTGCACGGGGAAGCCGTTCCTGGCCCATGTCATTAGAGCCTCTCTCAGGAGCTCACTGGGCTGAGCTCTCCTCCTGCCCTGGAAATCGGGTGGTCAAGAGCAAGGTCCCACCTAACAAATACCCGTTATTTGGAAACGGCTGTTAATCCTTCAGTCCTGAGACTCATTAATCCATTTGCAGTGCCCTTGTGTACGTGGGTCCCAGTGGAGGGCCAGGTGGGTGTAAGGACTCTCTCTGCTTCTTCCCCACCTGCAGGCGAGGGGAGAAGGGGCTGTCTGAGCAAACCTCGGGCCTCGGGCTGACCCACCGCCCGCGGTCCGGGACTGCCACGGGCTGGCACGAGACGTGCTGAGACCTGGCTTTCTGATATCAGACCTGTTTGCAGATAAATGCAGGACTGGAGGTTTGGGAGGGTTGCTGTTCTTCTGGGCAGCAGGTGGGTTTTTTGGGTTTGGGTGGTGTGGTTTTTTTTTTTTTTTTTTTCTCCTCTTAAGGGATCTTGGCAACCAGGCATTTTCTCTCATGTTTGTCAGTACTTTTCTCTGCTTTTGTGCGTGGGAAATTGAAGTTGAACCGAGCATCTGCTGCCGTCTATGTTTGGAGACGGGACATGAAGAAAACTTTAGTCTGATCCATCATGTGCCTTCCTATGAACCCCTCCAGCTCACCTGCCCGCCACCCTCCCAAGGCTGCAAGCACTGGCACAGCCTGCTGGTTGCTGGAAAGGTAAATCCTTTATTAGCAAAAGGATTATAGCCTCAGGTGAACACGAAGCAGTGAATGCACATGTGTTTTCACACATTTTTATGTATGTAGCAGCCACACATAAAAGCACTTGAAGTGAGTTGAGTTGTGGGCAGCTCTGATCGGGGTCTGCTTCAGGCTCCCTTCCCAGAAAGGTTCCCATTCCCAGAGGGCTGTGAACCCGGAGACAGGTTGTGTGAAGCTCTGCATCTCTTTAGCTGGCTGGTAGAGGCCTGGCAGCTTTATTTTGGGGCTGTTTGTACTGGCAGCTCTGGAGTATAGTGTGCTCTGTCAGGGCTTCTCAGCCCAGAGCAAAGCTGCAGTGTGATTTAGCCCAGGTTTGCTTGCTCGAGGCTATAAATAACCTTCCCAAGTGCCACAAAAGTTCTTGTCTGAAACAGTGGCATATTTCTGCCATACTTGTTAAGTCAGTTCACAGGCTGCTTAGTGAAGCTCTTAGCACAAAAAAAAAAAAAAAAAAACAAAAAAACTCTGCTAGGGTTTGGCAATGCTGTGTATGCTCAGACTGTGGGTCCCATCTGGGCAGTGCGTGGGCTCAGAAGATGCCAGAAGGTCCTGAAGAAGAGACGATGGGAGCGGGATGCTCCCAGCCCTGCTTTCTGCCTGCTAAAGTGCTCTGGCCTGGTGCCTCCCGTACACGAACGCCCGTTAAGGCTGTAGCTGGGTGTAAGTGCTGGAAGCTCAGTCCCTGTGTGGGGGGAAGCTGTGGGCAGTGTGGCTGGGCACGGAAATGGGGGGCGAGTGGACAGCCCTGTTTCATGGGCATGGAAAAATTTCAGCCCTCTGGAGCTCTGTGTCCTGGTGTCTGCGCTGCAGGGCCGCATCCTGCTGCAAAGGTGTCTGCCCCGTTTGGGCTGGTGGGAGGGGAGGGTGGGTGCAGCGTATGTGGCTCTGGTGGGTGCTGGGGTCTTGTCTTGGGACCCCCAGAGCTCTGTGGTGCTGGTGCTCGAGCCCCTGCACAGCTCATAGGCAGTGCAAGCGCTTCTAGGATCAGCAGGCAGATAAACTCTGATATCCCTAGAGCATCAGCTTGACCGCTGCTGCCTGGCATTGAGGTGTCTGACATGCTGCGTTAAACTACCTGGCTCCCAGGGCTGGGTGCACCCCAGTGTCCTCAGGGTGCAGAGCCCTGTTAAGGGAGGACTGGGAAGGGCTGGAGCCCTCCAGCTCAGCAGAGAACCTGCTGCACCCGCCTGCCGGGCACAGGCTGGAAAGCCAAGGCTTTTTTCCATTGAAGTCAGCTGGCATCCCAACTTTTCCGTCCCTTTTGGCCTCTGAGCCTGCACCACCACTGTCTGAGTAAACTTCCCCTTTTCCCAGTGAAGCTGGGTGTTCCTGGGGTGCAGGGCAGAGCTGGGGCCGTTCCAGTCCAGACCCGTGCCTCCCCAGGCGGAGGCTGTGCGTGGGCAACTGGAGAGCAGGAGCACTGGGACAGCAAAAGTCCCGGGAATAGGAGTTTTCCTTGCTTTCCCTGATGGTGGCAGCCCAGGGAGAAGCCCTTATCAGCCAGGCTGCAGACAGGCTGGGTGTTTCCCTGGGCACTGGGGAAGTAAAGAGGTCTCAGATCTCGGGGTGCCTGGCTGGGGACTGGTGCCCGAGCACTTTAGCCCTCGCTTCGTGGCACAGCCGTGCGTCATCGGGCCAGTGTCCCTGTACCTGGTGCAGCCTCACACCACCCTGGACTCCAGAAATCGTGGGACCCTCGTGCCCCATATCTGATGCCTCCCACTGAGTTGCTGGTACCTCCGGTAACCCCTCCCCACCCCTGGTGCAGGAACCCCCTCTCGGACAGGGCTCTCCTGGCCCCAGGGGTGGCTGTGTAGCCCACGATGCGATGCCCCAGCCTGGGGCTGGTGCCAGCGTGTCTCTCCTGGCTGTCCACCCGCCTGCCTGCAGCTCCTCTGCAGAAGCAGTGGCTCCTTGTCCGTGGCAAGCTCTCCGACTCAGGGTGGCTTTCGGACCTGGAAACTCGGCAGCCAGCCAATCTAGGCTCCCCTGTAAGTTGGGCATGATTCAGCCCTGATCTTTGCGCGCAGAATGGGGCTGGCGGAGCAGCTCGGGAAGGCGGCAGCTCCTCTCCAAGAAGGCTCTCGCTGCCCACCACCCACAAGAAATCTCATCCACACCCCTTGCAAGGTGTCCCCCTGTCAGGGATGCGATCAGCCTTCAGTTTTCTGAAAGTCTCTGTCACCTGCCACAGAAAAAGCACCTTCTCAAGAAAATTCATTTCTGACAGAGTAGAAAACAAGCAAAATTAAACCACCTCAGGGATAAAGGAGAAACTAAGTGACTTGTGCAAACATTGCTTTGGCAAAATGCTTTCCTTTGTTTTCTTGGGGTTTTTTCCTCTGGCCAGGGGAGGACTGGTGGTTCCCTGAACTGGACAGGTATTTTGTAAGCCATGGATGGAGGGTGCGTGGCGTGTGCTATGTCTGGAGGCCCCTTCCACCTATGCATGGGACAGGCAGGGGAGCCTGTTTGCACGGGAGGGGGACAGCAAGCCAGCTCCCTTCGGGTGCTGAGAAGCCTGATGGGTGATGGCCACCAAGCCTCTGCCATGGCAGGGAGACGGTCTGCCCTTTCCAGGGGCCCGGGAAGGACCGATGGAAGGCCAGATCCCACGTACAGGGATGAGGAGCAGCAGGGCGTGCAGGGGACCAAAAGCACCCGGCAAAATAGGTGCTTTGTGCCTGCCTGCCCGTGCTGCCGGGTGACACAGCCCCAAGCAGCTCTGGCCGTTTGGAACGCGAGGGCTGCCTTTGTGGGGCTGGCAGAGCATCTCATTAGCGGAGGGACCCCCTCGGCTGCCCATTCACTGGTGCACTGAGTGGGTGGCCTTTCTCTTCCTAATTGGACTGGGGAGGAGGGGACTGCCCTCCTCACCCAGCCAACCTTCAGAGTGTAGGGACCGGTGACCCCCTAATCCCGCCTGGCTCATGGGTGCAGGTGGGGGGCTCCACCTCTGCCCCCCGTCCACTGGCAGGCTGGTGGGGCCATGGATCTGGAGGCGATTATTTGGGAAAGCTGTGTCCTGCATATGTGCATATGGTTTCTTCCTCCTCCTCCTTGGTTCCCAGGGGCTCGGGGAGGGTGGGTTCTTTCATGGGTTTATTTTCTTTGTCAGCTCTCTTTCACACAGCTTTATTTTCCTTCCTTTTGTCTTGGGCGCTTTCCTTTCTCCTCCCCAGCCTCAGCCCCAGCCCTGCTGCCTCCCTTTCCCGCGGGATCGACCTGCTGGCACAGATGCTGGCACGGATGCTGGCCTGAGCCCTGGGAGCTGGGACATTGGCCCCTGCGGGGACCAGGGCCACTGCCACACCTGGCATCTCACTTGGGGCACATGGGTTTCAAACGAAGGCAAAAGCCTATGCCTGGGGTCCAGGAGCCCCTATTCTTGGGGGTCCTTGGGGCTCCTGCCCTGAGAACAGGGAGCTGGGTCTCAGCATTGGGTTGGGATGAGGATGAGGTGGGGTGGAGCGCTCTGCACCCCAGAGGCTCCAGCTGCTTTTGCTGATCCTTGCCTCTGCCTCGCCTGCTTTTTCCCACACCTCTTCCTGAAATGAAAGTTGGTGCTATGAGTAGGAGGGTTGGAGGAGAGCAGAGCAGGAGTGGCCCTCGGTGTGCTTATTGCTTGCAAATCACTAGTAAATACAGGTGGTTTCTCAGGCCATCCCCACTCCTCACCTGGGAAATAGTTTAGCTGAAAGGCCGACCTTCAGGTCTATTTTTGGGGGGGGATACTCACCACATTGTGAAGGGTTACTCCTCTGCAGTGCAGTTTCCACGTGTGATTTCTGCCCTGAAGGCAAAAATAATCTGGGGAGACTGTCCATCTGTTGAGTTTTGTGAAATGTGCAAAAAATACCTGCCTCCTGGGTGGTGGAGAAGTGGGTGTTTTCAGAACTGTGAACACAGTGGTTGTGTAAAGTGAGCCCACACTGGGTCTGGAGGTGCTGTGGGCTCTGGTGGGGGCACGATCCCGTGGGATGCTGGGGAGCAAAGGCGAATCCTGCGTGGTTTGTGACCTGAGCCCCTTGGTTCGGGTACATCTGAACGTGGGCTGGAGGGGAATAGCTGAGTGAAGGGGTGTAGATAGGACAGCCTCAAAGCATTCCTACTGCTGGTGCTGTTTCCCAGGAGGGCCATCCAAGGAGGTGCTGCCCAGTCCAAGGTGGTGTCTGGTTTCTGCTCCATCACTTGCTTACAGGGTGGCCCAGCCTTGCTGGGCTTGCACATGCAATTATGAGCATGACTTGAGTGTTGCTCCTGGCCGAGGCTGTGGTCCTCAGCCAGGAGGTTAACATTGCTTGAATTCATGTGGCTGTGGGAGCCAGAGATGGATGGGGCCGTCTCCTGCCCAGCTGATAGCTGCCACCCCTTGCCCTGTCCTTGCTCACGGCTGTGTTCTGCGCTCACCTCGGGAAGGGAAACACAGGGAGAAGGCAATTACTCCTCTGGTGGCAGCAACCTCATGCTGTTGGGAATAGCTGGAAGAAGATAGGCATCCTCTGGTTGCAAAAGTCTGTCCTTCTCTGCCTGTAAGCTACGAAGGCTCCCTTGCAGGTGAGGGGGAAGCAGTGCTGGGGATCCCTGGCAGAGGAGCGCTGTGGGGAGGCTTGGTGGGAGAGGTGCTGTGCAGATGAAGCGTGTCTGGCAGGGGAAGATGGGGAAAGGTTTCTTGCTTACATGCTGCACTGTGACTGTGTGCCCAGGGCTCCGGCTGCCTCAGCACTTCTCCTTGTCTCCTGCTTTTTATTGATGGTTCCCAGACTTTATATAAGAAAAGGAAATCGATTGATGTCAAAGGTGCCTCTCTTAACATGACCCGAACCTTTGAAGGGGTGGTAAGGCTCTGTTAGGAGACACGACTGAAAACTTACCAAGACCTGTGCTTTTGCAGTCAGGCGTTCAGTGTTTGGGGTCTGGGCAGTTAATGCCGCCTTTGCCGGCAGCATGCATTGTTGGCTTTAATTCCCGGCTATATAGAGCTGCCCTGCACCGTGGCAGCCTGCTCAACACGTGACAAACACGCCAGCTGTTTGGTGTTTATTTTTATATCCTCTCTCTTCGCATCTACTCTCGGCACTGAGTGCCCGGTGCCGGTAGCTGGACACGCGCCTCCGTCTGCACCCGGGGCAGGAGCCGCGCGGCTGGGGACAGCATCCCTGAGCGGGTGGGCTTGTTGAGTTTGGGATGCAGGTGTGGAGGGTTAGCAAGGGCTCTCATCCCCCCACAAAACCCAGAGGCGGTTGCACAGCCCCCATGCTGTGCCCTCAATAGAGGTGGCAGCAGTGTCCCAGCAGAGAGGAGCCGGGAGCCCCACAGCGATGCTGGGTGAGAAATGTCCCCCCTCTGCGGCCTCTGCCTGTTCGGTGACCCCTAGCACATGTTCACCCATTTAAGCACCCGTCCTGGTGCTGGCGTTTGAAACCAGTGACCTGGGTTTTCATGGTGTCAGGGAAGGTTATGGCCGTATTCACACAAACACGTAGCCCTGGAGGGTTTAGTGCCCACGCTGTGCTGCCGAGGGATACGTCAGCGTGTCAGGATGAAGTGTGGGAGCACAGTGGGCTAGTAAATAGACTCAAAACGCTTTTCTTCTAACTACACGTTTTTAGCGCTCAGCATTGACTCTTCATCACTTGTCTGTTTTCTGATCCTTCTTCTGAATCTGCCCTCTTCCATTTTATTTTTTAAAAGGTTTTTGTTCGGCATCTCTCTGTGCTGGGTCGCAGTGGCGCTGCCTTTGGTCCCCTTTGAATAGCAAAGCGGCTCCTTTATTCTGCAGGCTTGGCCTGGAGGCTCAGCGTCACTGCAAAAACAGCCAAGGGTTTGGCAGGGCTGTAATTAAATAGTGAAGGGCCTGTCACAGGACAGGTTGCTCCAGCTATTTTAGGGATATTCCAATATCCAGGTCTGTAATAGGTGACTCAGTGCAGCTGAGGGGATGTTGGCTTATACCTGCGTGCTTTGATCACGGCATAGGTGAATGAGGCCTGTTGGCCTGATTACTGAAGTTGGTTTATTGTTAGAATATGGGCTGCTGAATCCTTGAAACATTGTAGTGAGGAAACAGCTTCGTGGTGGGAGGTGTGCAGTGGGCGAAACACCGCCTGTTCCCCAGAAGCGACGCTGGGTTCCCTCCGGGGATGCCATCGAGGCCATGGTGGGATCGTGAGGTTTCCAGTGCTGTGGAAACTTGACTGATCTGCTCTTTCTTTCCCTCCAGTACATCGGGAGCCTGGATGTGCCACGGCCAAACAGCCGGGTCGAGATCGTGACGGCCATGCGGCGGATCAGGGTGAGTGTGGTGAGGATGCTCCTTCCCCTTCTGCATCGGGATGGTGGGGGCACCGGTCTGCCAGCTCCCCTCGCAGCCTTCTCTCACATAAGTCCTGCCCTCCAGGTTATTCATAACTCTGTGTTTTCCCCCGTCCCTCTCTCCGTTGAGATCTCTGTGTAAGCCAGGCGTGATGCCTGCAAGCTTCGTGTGCCACACCATTGTGTTTGGAGCGTCCTCGGCGCTGGCTGTGCCCCCTGGTACCCACGCATCCCGTGGGCTGTGGCGGGGCTTAGCCTCAGCCCGAGAGCCGTCCCCGTGCTCACGGTGCTGCGTCCCGTGCAGGAGCGTGGGGTGCAGGGTGGGTGTGGGACGTGGGGCTGCCAGCACCAGACGGAAACCGTGGCATGTCTGCGATTCGGCGGATCTCCTCGTGTGTCAGCCCCGATTGAAAAGTAACAGCAAACTGCTTGTGGAAGAGGTACGTTTGTGTGTTACTGCTTGTGTAAGTGCTTCGGCTGCGTGAAAATTCGGGCGCTGGCTGGATATGCCAGCAGGTTAGTGCCCAGTAAATGGCAATGTGCAAATTAAAGTGCTGAGTAACAAGCTCTGGGGCCGGCCAGCAGAGAGCTTGTTTAACAGCAAGTAGGTCAGGGGATGTCAGCTGGTGATGAAGTCATCTGGCTTCCCAAAATACTCACAGTCAGGATACGGGGCGCTCTCGCCATATAATGCTTGGCCGATAGCCAGGAGAGGAGTTTTCCTCTGCTCCCCGGCCCCTCGCCCGCACAACTGGAGGGTGTTCAAGGACGTGCTGGGAGGGGAGCACGCCACACACCCAGCGAGCTCACTGCCCCCCAGCTTAAAACAGCAGGGGCTTGAGTGCTCTCAGATGCACAGAACAGCCCTTTGGGCTGTGGTTGGACCTTGGGCTGATGTATGTGGCAGTGTGGCCACAGGCGCAGGTAATTTCGTCTGCTCCATGGGTCCGCAGCAAGGGGTCTGCCCTGACTTCCAGGAATGGCTCTTTCCCAGGAGTAACACTTTTAACTGGAAGGAGGTGAGGATGCTCACAGGGATGTTGAGTTAATGGATGAATTGTCTTTCTGGTGGCCTTATGGGATCCCGTAAGCACCGGACCTGCTCGTGTGGCTGAGCAGCCCTACCAGTGCTCAGCTGTCGCCCTGCTCCTCTCTCAGCCCCTCATGCGGACTCTTGCTATAATCTGATTTTTTCTTTTCTCATCGCCGGAGGAGGAGAGGAGTATCATAGCTCAAGGACACAGATTGCAAGGCTCTTCCATTTCAAACTTTCAGCACGTAAATAGTTTGTGCGCTTTTTTCAGCAGCTTTCCTACCTGCTGCCCTGTCCTCTTGGTGGTGGTTAATGTTGTGTTGGTGCACAAGCTGGGAAGTCCTTTATGGCATTAGGTTTGCTCACCTTGGTCCCAAACGAGGTTTGGGACGGACAACTGTTATGCAGTCAAGAGCTCTTATAAACAGCTATTTCCTCTGCTGCCTTTCAAGATAAGGCTTTTGAAAGAATGCAGCTCCAGCCCCCAAATCACATAACTCCGCATCAGTATGAGAGGATTGGCCCAGCTTTGGGGGCTTAAATAAATCATAAGGAAAAAAAAAAAATCAAAAAAATCCTTGTAGACCAATATAAATAAGCATAGCTTGGAAAATTCATAGGTAAAAGTCTGAATGGTGGGGAAAGGACACAAATTAGGGTAGAATAATGAATTAATGGTGAACAGTGTGCTTGAAATGTGTGCTTAGGCATCCTTGATCTAGTGTGAGACAGAAGAGATGCAAGTCACTGAAAGGCCAAGATTTTGCAAATCAGATCTGCCAGAGAGACTTTTAAAGTCTGTTTATTTGTCGCGAGGTGCTGTTTGTGAAGAGGATGCCAGTGTGGTTTGTTTGACAGGAGTTTACGCCTGTAGCCCTTCCCTGGTTTCCCGTGGTTTGCACTGGCCTTGCACCCAGCAGCAAGACGTTACCGCAGCGTTGCAAGGGCATTTGCTGGCTGGGTGCCGAAGGCTGGTTTGAATTTGGCTGGAGGTCAAGGAATGTGTGTCCTCCTTAAAGCAGAAGGGTAGTTGTGTTCTTTAAGGAATAAAGTTATCACAAAATATTGGCATGGGGAAACCAGAGAAGGAAAAAGCTTATTTAGGCACGGAAAGCAAGCGATGGGAGATACTCAAGTGCAAGCTGCCACGGTTCTGCCTGTGGTGTGTGAAGCAGCTGCTGACTCTGAGGTTTGTATGGTTTTTAACGCAGTCCCTGGTTTAGGGGGAAAGTGCTGTGCCCCAGTTTGTTCTGAGCTAGTCACTGCTGGTGAAGGAGGGGGGACCTTCACTGTCCCCCCTGCCACTGTGACCCCCCCTTTCTCAGTGCTGCTTTTGCCCTGGCTGCTCACTGGGCTTTGCCTCTATTAACTACATGATTAAAAAAACCCTGATCCTGCAAAGAAGTGAGGAAGCACCTTGCCTGACAGTTGGGGGGGTCCTGAGGGGACGAGCACCCTGGGAGCCCCCCATAACTGCCTGTGCTGGGCTGGGAGCAGGGAGGGACGTGGCCCCGAGCAGCAGCAGCTCCTGCGGCGCTGCCTCCCATCTCCTCCCGGCTGTCGGGACTGGGAAGGCCGAGCCGTGGGCCTGGCTGATCCCGGCTTCCTGTTTAGATGGAGACCTGACCCCTGGGGGGGAGCCGAGGGGGACAAAGAGGAGGACACGGCATCGCTGGCATTGCTGAGATTCCTGCACTGGCCCGGCTCTGCCGCCCTGGTGCCGCTCTCCAGGGAGCAAAGCAGAGCGATGGCCGTGGGCAGAACGGCTTCACCAGAGCAAGAATGTATATATTAAACCCAAATCTGGTCCCTTTTGTGGATCTGGGTCGAGAGGGACTTTACACAGGGAGCCAGTGTCGCAGGACAGGGGTGCCATCCCCTTCCTGCCCCCCTGCTGAAGGGCTGATGGTGGCATGGCCATCCTCAAGGTGCTGGCCGGAGGGAGGGTTTCTGTCCAGAAGCAGGAGGATGTTGGAGAATTCCTGGGATTCTCACAGCTCGGCTGGGGGGAGGAGGGAAAGGGAGGTGCTCAGCTTGCTGCCTCTGCCTTCCTGCTTTTCTTGCCTGTACCGGCTGGGCTTGCTGGGGACACAGCCCTGTCTTGCTCTGCGTCTCGGTGCAAATCCTTGGCCCTGAGAGGACTCGGTGGAGCGGGACGTTAGCTGTGCCAGGGATGCACTTGGACAGCAATTTTGTGAGCATTTACTGCAGCTTTCCTCCAAATCCTACATCTTCTGGCTTTCATGCAGAGCACTGATGGCCATGTCAGAACTAATAAATACAATAGGCCAGGGCTTGTTTTCCTGGCAAGCCGCTGAGATTGTGTTTATACAATTGAGCCCCTTCTCCTCTTCCCAGAACAGGGTGACCTGTTGCTTCACCCTGTTGCTTCAGGGTTGAACCCATGTTGCTTCATGCCCTAAACTGCTGGGGTAGGTTGGCCTTCAAAACGCTCCTTGGGTCCTCTGGATGCAAGGTGTGAGAGACTGTTCTGTAAGCCCAGGTAGTTACCCATGGGCACCTGAACGTCAGAAAGTCCCAAGCTTGACAGTAACTAAACGGTCATTAAAGCTGCAGCCAGCCTGTCCTGTGGGTGTGAGCCCAGGGGAACTTGCTTGCCCAGGCTCTCCTGGGAAGCAGCAGCCCAGAGGCCACAGTGCTGTTCTGCTCTGGGCTGGTCACGGGCAAAGCTTGAGTAATTCAGACGGGAGCTCATGAGAGTGGTCTGGGACCGGCCATACGTCCGTCAGCTACCGAAGAGGGTGTTATGGTACTGGAGAGCAACAGCCCAACTGGTGCATCTTCCCAACCATAAGGACTATGAGTTGTTGAAGATTTCAGTTTAAAGTGCCTGAGCTAGCTGCAGGGCATCTTTCTTTTCCTTTTTCTCTTTCTCTCTCTCTTTTTTTTTTTTGTTTTGTTTTTTTCAGAATGGCTGAGCACATGCTAAATGACAGCAATAACTATATATTTTTTATGTTGTCATGATGTAAATATATGCAAATGCTTTCCTCTCTGTCTCTCTGCTCTTGGCATGTCTCCAGTGCAGCCAGTGCTACCTGGCTAGGGCTTGGTGCAGTCATTCTAGAGAATTTGGAATCATCCTTTTTTTTGCTACTTGGATCGCTGAGTGCAGCTTTAATCCGGGTTTTCTTTGGTGCCAGAAAGGATGAAATCCTATATAGGCACTTCTTAAAAGCTGCTTCTGTGGAAGTCTTCTGCAAGCCTGTTTCTGGGAAGTGTCCAGCTGAGTTTTGCAGGCTTAAAACAAGAAGGCATTTCAAGCACTTTAAAATCTAGCTCCTCTACACCTCCTACTCTGTCAGGTACATCTGATTTTGTGGGACTTCTGCTGCTTTGCATAGCTGAGCTCTATTTTAGCAAATTGGCAAAATCGCTGAATTTCAACAAGCTTGTTTAAAAGCAAGATTTTTGCATCCTTTGCAAGCCACATGTACAGTCAGACTGGTGTGAAAATGGATACATTTGGCCAGTTATTTGTGTAGAGTGCCTGGTGTAATTTTGAGCTCATTTAATTAAAATTTTTCTGAGATACCCCTGTTCTGCCATGGTGAGTTTTTCAAAGCGTTAGGTCATTTACAGTGATGCAGCCTATTTTTTTTTTTATTATTATTTTTTTTTCTTTCATCATGCAAAGAGCAGCATGGCTGTCCCTGCCCTAAAACAGAGCAGGGGCAGCCCCCTGTCCCCCCAGCTGCCTGCAGGGGACCAGCATGGCGGGCAGTGGCTGCCCAGGAGATGCTCAGGCTTTGGCCGCCTGAAGAGCTCAGCTTGCTCTTTGCCAAGTCACAGCACTCAGTGCGAGGTGAATTATCAGCGAGCTAATGACTTGATGTGATTATCCAAGAAGAACAAGATTATGTTGTATTAGATCTAGGAGGAACCAAAGGAATATCTGTCATAATTTCAATTGCTCTTTCGGTGCT